AAGAATATCAGGGCAGGGGATTTAGCTCAGTGGTTTCACACCTGCCTCACAAGCACAAGGTCCTGAGTTCGATCCCTGGTACCAAAAAATAAATAAATTAATTAATTAATTAAATTAAAAAATAAAAGAATATCGGAGATTAAACATGGAAAGAGGAGTCAGATTATTTCTTAAATGATTTCTGTGGTGGAGTGTCCCCTCTGACCTCCATATCCTTCATGAATTGTGTACTACATTGACAGACTGGATTATATACATGAGGTACATGATTATTGTAGGCTTTGTGTTGGTGGAAATTTAGGAAGATGTCAGTATCATAGAGAGCAATAACTGAAGTCAAATGTGTCATGAGAACATAAAATCTACCATCCTGGTATTGATTACAATATTGTTGAGGCATTTAGACATAACTGAAGTGCATAGTCTACAAATACAAATGTTAAATTTATTTTACAAAACATTCTCAAAACTATCTGGATTCTATTTTTTTCAAATCTTAATGAAAACAAATTTACTTTATCTTAGAATTTTCTTTTTTTCAATATTTATTTTTATTAGGTTACAGTTTTCAAAAACCAACTATCAGTTATGTTTTATTTATGTTTTAGTATATCATTAAACTTACTGAACAAAGTTCACAGCTTTGTATTAATTTTATCATCTTCCTGGGTCTCAATACTTTTCCAGTTATTAACAAATGTTCAGATTGGATTGAAGCCATGAGGCCACAAAAGGATTGTGAAACCTCCAATTATCTGTAGCTACACATTTTATCCAAATTTCCATAAAAAGATGAAAGTGGTGGAAATTTACTGTAATACAACCAAAATAATCTCTATAATTATTATTATTTCTTAAAAAATATACCTGCTATATAAATGTGTTGCATTCAAATGTGTTGCAAGTTCAAAATGAGCAGGGATGATAGTAAATCTAAAGAGCTTCTCTTTTAATTTACATTTTAATAAATTTTAACCAATCTATTAACATTCAGTAATAAAATTATAATCATTTTTCATATTATCCAATTGTGATCCTATTTACCTGCTTATCATATGATTTCTCAAAGCAACTTTCCATTAGCACTATGAAACACTTATCTAATGAAAACTACTTCCTATGGTACCATGCCTCTCCTTCTGAGCATTAATTCATTCAATCTTTTTTCCTTATCTTTATTAATAAATATTCCACTCCATTTTTTAAGGAGTAAATGGGAAGAGTATAAAAACAAACCAGTTCTGAGATGATTCAGTTGCCTTAGGTTATGACTTTCTAGTACCATCATATCACTTTTTCTCCTAAGAACCACTTCATAGTTTAAAGACTGACATGGCTGAGAGATACAGGAAGACATTCTAGACAGAGCTGAATTTAAATGAGCCTCCAATTACTGTATTTTGTCCCTTTTTTATTGTAATCATTTCATCTGAAGGTATACAAAAATTAATCAACTGCTTTTATATGAGACTATGAAATAACAATACCATTGCTTCCAATAAAGAATCAATAATTGTTTTTATAGCATTAAGGTAATTACAGTCATTTGGAAAGATAGCATCAACTGAGACTTTTTTGCACTTACGACTAATCCATTCTAAACAAAAGCCAATCTTAAAAACGTAATTCCAGAAAAAGTGCAGTTATGCCAAGAACAGATAAGAAAGTACACAGATCTCACAGGCTATGCTATACCAAACAGATAAAAAGTAAAACTGATTTTATACCGTAAGTCTATACAAATAAATAAAATCCTATCTTCTTTTCCTGTACGTATGCTTAGATTTCTTACATAAATAACAAAGTACATTCCATCACTTCAACAGAATGAACTCCTTGGAAAAAAACTTAAAAGAGCAGATAATCAACTCCCAAGATTTATGCTTACTTTTTCCTACTTTTATCAGCTTCCTGACATATTTAACCTAAGCAGAAAAACCTTGTCTGTAAATTAAGCATACAAGTCTACATGTGTCTTGAAGAATTCTCCCCGGTTACATATATCCCATGTTGCTTTTGGTTTCCCATCTCTTCTTTGCTTCAAACCTGAAACGAAGAACATAAAAATCTCAATTTATTTCTAAAATAAAAACTTTGCTATCGTATATGTTTACTAAGAGACCAAAGCAAAACAAACCTAAAAATTCCACACACTCAACTGCTTACAAAGTAAACAACAGGATGAAGAAATGGCTCTTTATTTATAATCTTATAAACAAAAATACAGAGTAAAATAAAAGTTACCTACAAACTGGATTCGCAAAATGTATTAACAGGCTGTGTGAAATTCCTATAAAGTCAGTCGAATTACTATTAAAACTCATAAGGAAACTTACCCCCATGCGAGTTTCTTCTTTTTTCGAGCCGCCTGTGAGTTTTCAGCCTCCTTTTTGGCTTTTACAAACTTGTGACAGGCAATTGCTTTGGCAATTTTTACACCAAGCTAAGAATTACAAAGGAGAAAAAAAATGTGAAAACAAGTATTCCGGCTAATGTAAGTACGACAGCGGCATGTTAACTGAGAACGTGTAGGTAAGAAAGCCATGTCTGGGACCAGAAATTCTACGCTCAGGCTCCTTGAACAAAGTATAATGAATACACACATATGGCCCATTATTTCCCTTCCCTCCCCAAAGACCCTCTACCCTAGCTGAACCATGTCCTGGATGGAAATGCTTTCCAAAGCGAGGCCCCTCCAGGGTCCACAAAGGTAGTAATGAGGCTCTTCAAGCTATCCCAGCATTTCAATAGGCTGAAGAGGAATTTGCCCTGATAAGGCTGCACAGACTGACAGAGACATCAACTTTCTTTGCTTTGGGCTAGAATTACAGCAACTCAGTACGGTCACACCAGTTATCTCATGCTGATCAGAAGCTCTGATTGGCAGTTACAGATGGGATTAATAAAACATGGAAAAGCTAATTACTACTTCATAAATGCACTATGCATGATGAGGAACAGCTTTTAAGTCTCTGAGAGAGAATGGAATATGAAAGGTCCTAGAAAGTGAAAAGGCTGGACTCCAGGACTTGGGTGTTCCCTGGGTGGGGCCCTCTCTACAGGACCCCCCGACATGCAACCAGAAATCCTACCAGGTCTGTTCCAAAAGAACACCCCATCTAAGAAGTCATCTCTAATTCAGTCTACAATAGTCCTTACCTCTGAATTCTTCCAGCCCTTTTCTAGCTGCAAAACTGTTTCCAAGACAAGGGTGCTGATATCTTCTAGTTTCTAGGACCTCTTATTCTAAAATGCCCAACTCTAATGGATGCCTCAAACAAATCCATTAAGAACCCAAGTGAAACAGAAAAAGCTAAAAGCCTTTCTGGTGTTTCTTGCCTTTCCTATCCTTCACTCAACTTGATGCGTATTAGTGGACAAGCAGATATGTGGATGAGAAGAAACAACCCAGAAGCCACTGTGAGGTCAGTGTGTCACAGGCTAAGTTTTAGAGATCTGCCTGCCAATAGGAAGGCATGGAAAAAGGTTATGAACACAGTGCAAGGAAAGAAGCCAGTTAGGGAAGCAAGGTCCAGCACACGTGACGTGTCTTCTAGCTCATCTTGGAGAGCAGTTTTCTTTAAGGCAAAATAGACAAGGGGTAATCAAACACTGAGTAGAGTTTATAAATGAGAGAAAAACATCTCACTTTTCAGTTCAGGAAAGAATGAATATGCAAATGGAGGGAAGCTGGCAAACCAAGTTGCTTCAACAGGATAGTCGCTGAAGAAAAAACTGACTGTGACTTGAGCTCCCACTGGAGGAAGCAGACCAAACTCCGTATCCTCTCAACAATCAAAGCAATGTCAGCAGCTCTACTCCATAATCTTTCACACAAGAACATTTATCCCACCTACTTTATGAGGGCACAAATGTACAATGTGCCAGGCAGTGCTGTAGGTGCTCGATACACAGTCCCAACCCAAACACAGCTTGTTATCAAATTGCAGGTAAGGATGAGGCTGACCGCTTCAATGCTGGCTTTGTGCTTCTGGTTCTTTTCATTCCCAGTTCTTTATCACAGAAAGTTCACCTAAGTCAACCAAAACAAGGCTAAGAATCAAAGGGCTGCAGCATCATCATCTCAGGGGAAAATGAAACTCTGGGAGGATGCTGTGGCATCATTTTTCAACAGGATGGAATTCCTATCCACTGAAAAGCTGCCCACTTGTCTGCACACACATAAAAAAACAAGTTAGCACCTGCAGGGTGAGGCTACTCAACAATGCAGTGTCAAGTAAACCCCCAAATTTCACTGGCTGAACTTTCACTTGTTTCACTTCAAGATCCCACGATGTTAGCATCTCCACATGTGGCCTTCAGACTCTCGGTGGCAAAAGATCTGCAGGGTTTATACCGGCTCGCGAATGCTTTAGTCTTGAAGTGACACACATTATTCATGGTTCATTGGTTAGAACTGCTCACATGGGTCCACCTAAGTGCAAGGGGCCTGAAAATACAGAGGTACAACCGGACACTAGAGGAATGGTGCGTGCACCTAAGAAGCCGTCTTCTGCCACAAGACCCAGCTTATGACCCATGTTTATGATGCACAATAGGCTGGCCACATTCATATGGATGAGTCTCTTTCCCATGCCCTATCCCCCAAAGGTAAGACATTAAAAAAAAATTGTAGTTTTCATTAACTCCATTCCTATATCATATACATAAATGTAAAAACTCAGATAGCATATCATATTTAAATTAAGCCTATAGTTTGGGTAAGAAACAAAAACAATCTGAAATATTTTTGCCATGTACCATTAACCATGTGAGTAAATTCTTCTCTAAAACTGTGGTAAATTAAGCTTTACATGTGTAACTTACTGAAATTCCCCAGTATGGGTTTCTTGCATTTGGGACACACAGACCAATGAGCATCTCCGGGTGTCTGAATGTGCAGTCACCTGACTTCAGTGGGCCCTGAAGAATGGAAATGCTCTTAGTGTTCCGGAAAGGCTAATGCCAAACCCAGCACAACCAGTGCCAGAGTAAAGGGTTAGCGTATATCCCTAAGACACTGTATAAACTTGTTAAAAATAATTCCTTAGAATGCATTAAGCAAGTACTCACAAGCTAGGGCTCCCTCATTTTGTGAACTAAATAAATAGACTACTGGGTGCACAGGAACACTTTCAAACAATACAGTTGTTCCCATAAAACATACATTTTCTGTTATTTTATGGGCTAGGTTAAATGGAATGTTTATCAGCTGATAAACATTAAGCAAATCTGCTCTATGTATGTTTCACAGAAAAATATGTTGTAGTTTGTAATGATGATGACAAGTCATAACCTTTTTGTGCCTTCACATGCTTAGAATCAATGTGTTTCACTTATTTCTGTGGAGAAAGAAAAAAGAATAAGACATATCTGGAAATAGAATAGGGTAACAAGGCCTCCACTAAAAGAGACAGTTAAGAAGAAATGCAGTTTCCCAGTCAAGATGACTAACTCGAGTTCCAGAATACAAAAGATATCGTGCTGTGTTTCAGTATTACAAACAAATAAAATAAGCCGACAAGAACCCCCCTTTTGCTTCCATAAAAAGAAAAACGCATCTTCCTGCTCAATGTAAACATCACAAAAGCTTGGCCAATGGTTTCTATATTAAAAAGACTGTTTTGGGTCATCAGATAACTACCGCAACACAATGCGGGAAGAAATTTATAAAAAATGAATAGAAATATGTACAGATTTTCTTATATGTGTAGCCAAAGTATCAGCATTTTCCATATAGACCATCCAATATTTTGCTGCATTTTAATTAAGGTGTCTAAACATTATCACAAAGAACTGCAAATTGGTCAGAGCATGCAGTAAGGAAAATTAAGCTCTAAAGGCTTTTTATCACCATATTTCAGGAACCAAGGGTGTAAAATGTTCTAATTTGGGATATATTAAAAGCCATAAAAGGTCTTTCAAAAAGATTAATGGTACTTTGCTTGGATTTAAGATAAGGGCTTTAGCTGGTTGGAAAAGCAGGGCCCTGGCTGGACCCTTGAGGCATTCATCTTTACAGCCACTTGGAAGATTTGTAAAAGCGTCTGCATAACCTCAAGCAAATGCGTGGCGACATTTTTTTAATTCCTTTCAATTTTATAGGTTTAGCGTGTGTAAATCATATTGGGTTGTAAAATAGATACAATGGCACATCCTTATGGTACAGATTTTTAAAAGACAAACTTCAAAATAAAGTTAGTTTTTCTTGCAAAACGTCATTATAAAGTTTGCTGATAATCACTTGAAACATCTGATTCAAACAGCTTAATCTAGAACTATAAACTTCTTACCCATTTCATAAAATATTTTACTCATCTCAAAATTACTAGCTTGTAACAGATTTATGAAGTTTTGCTCCCTTTTGAACACTTTCAAGGCACTTATTTAAAAATACCAATTATCATACTTTAACTTTTTATGGAATTAATAGGTCTCTATGAAAAATATTTATGCCATTCCCTTTTGTTCTTTAATTAAATGAAAACAGATGTTTTCTGAAGTAAAGCGGAACCATTACTGGAGTACTTAAAGTGTTAAGGTCTTTAATTTTTATATCAGTTTAGTCGACAATTCCTGATTGTCTTTACTCAAGCTCAACATTAATGTCAAGCAAGTTACCTAGGAGACGAAAGAGATCAAAGAGACAAAAACCCCTCCAATGTCTGATTAATCAAGCCTGCAAACAGCTTATTTCTTTTAGCCTGCATGCAAGTATGAAAATGAGATTCTGGGAGCTGAACACTGTGCAGATTTGTTCATTCTTATCTGAACAAAGCCAGCGGCAGCTTATTTCATGGATCATTGGCACTGTCATCAGTGCTACACAGAACGGGTGACAGCTCCTCATTTTGAGGCTTGAACAAAATTAGCAAAAAGTCGGCACAAATTAGCCTCTCATCTTTTTAGTAATATGACATTATTCATTTACTTTTTATCCAATTTTTAATTTTTTCCTTGTCAGCTATCCCTTTTTAGTGTCTCTTGCAAGGCATCATAAAATGCCTTCTAAAAAACAAGCAAAGAAAGCCAAAGTTGAAATAACACACAAAGTTCAAGAACAAGCACTTTCCAGTGACTGGTAATGCTGTGTTTTTAGAAAAGACTTTCAAAACTCTGCATTAATAATTGAATGAAAACAAAAAACAATTCAGAATGCCATGCAGTAAGCGTTTTATGAAACCAGTGGTGTGTTTCAATAAAGTGACTCACTCAACCTGCAATGCAAGACGGTGTGTACTACGGCCGACTCGGCGTGTCAGCATTTGGACTAGTACCGTACCGTATCTCCATGATCACACCTGAGATGTCAAACCTCTGATGACAGCAAATGATTTATGCTACATCTAATCATCTAACTCAGATTTAAATCAGGTCATTTTCTCTGTTATAGGAAATAAGCTAATTTCATTGTCATCTTAAAATGTGCATGTACAGGCGGGC